TCATAAAAAATATATAGTATATATTTTTTAATGTTGTCAGTGTTGGTGAGATGATACCTCTAAAATGTGGAGTTAATTTGTATCCTGTGAAATTGATGAGATAAAACAAAAGAGTCTTTGTCTAAGATAATTAAAAATGTATGAAGGAGGTCATCTAACGTTACCTATTGTTAAATTAATCAACCGAATAATTACTTGTAACACTTAGCATCATTCGAGTGTATTTTATCTATATTTCAATCTCTTCATACATGCATACATACATAGATGTCGTGCTATTTATATATTTGCAACCCAAATAGTCTTTTAGGAACTAGAAACTATTATACTTTTAGTTAATTAAGATCTATAGAGACGTGCCTTTTTGTTTTAACTGTTTATCCTAATGGAGTAAGGAAAGTATATCATAATATATTTAAATTAACAACCAAGAAGTATAGTTATAAAGGCTTTAAGTAACTTCACTGTAAATTAATTATTCACTTAGCTTACTACAAGTTTCGATCGTGACTTGTGAAAAAACTGAAGAGGCTCCGTGCAAACTTGTGTTAAGCAAAAAGTTCTTAAATAAATGCGATCTTTCGACGTCTTATAAAACGTTTCAATTTTACTGTTGTTTAGTTACACGTGTATTTATTCCACACGGTAGATAATTAGATAACTTTCATAGTTACATTGTAGAAGAAATATTGTTACAAAATGATTGTATATGCCGGGAACGGACTAGTTAACCGTATTATTGTGTATTATAAAAAAAAAAACTAATTGTATGTTCGTTTGTTTGTTATGACCTCAAAAACTATTGGAGCGATTTTATTTTACCATCGAGTTATGTATATGAATACTAATTTCTTTCGTTTATTGTTTATTGCACAATAGTTAAGAAAAGCCTTTAGGATGAATTCATCTAATAAGATTAAATGTTGAGTTTCTCACGGTTGATTTATATTTTTTTCTATTTATAAATATTAATGTTTTATTATTAAATAATTATGATAGTCTTACTGCATCGTTATATAAAATAAATAGATTTTTTAATTAAAAATTATATAATTTGTATGTATTACAAGTTAAATATACACACACTAGTCGGTAACCTTATATTTCATCATATGTTAACACATGCTACCATCTGCGCGTACGCATGAAAATTTGGGAGTTCGTACATCACTCCCAGATACAAATGGTGTGTGAAAATCACGCTAGATGGCATTGACCGTGTTGTGAAATAGTTGGAACATTTTCATGTTACTATTATGAAATATGTCTATTTGTAATGGAAGGTAATGTGATCAGCTGTCTCTCTGTCCGGTTAGATCATGTGCGTTTTAATCTATTAATTTCTTATGTTTGTATTATTTTAGTTTTGTTTCCCTTGCGTTTCGCTAGATGGCAGTAGTTGGATTATTGAGAAATTACAATAAAGCTTCTTTCAAATCTCTCAAGTATGTTGATGTTTGATTTACTTAGACAGCAAACAGAATTGCTTGTCTGTTTATCTAATTTTATTTTATAGGGTAAATATCGAATACAATACAATAATACTCATCACTAATCATTTTAAGCGATATATTTTACAAAAGTTTGACATATATTTTATCCTACACAGCATGTTTTTTACATACGTGAAAAATATGAGCATGAAATGAAACAGCTTTGTAAATAACTTTGATATATGAGTGTACTGTATTGATTTTTACAACAACGTAGTAAAGGTCAAACATTCTCTGTTTAGTTTACAATGTTTACGGAAACTTTTCGAGATATTTGTCATTGTAAGCTATCGAGTACCTTGGCCTAGACTTGCATTGAAATAAAAAAAATGCAATGCCGCCTCATTGTTCGAGAGATTTCATCTCGATTAAACATTTCGTAAATTTTGCTTGTTGTTGTAACCTTGTGTTTCAAATCGATTTCATATCAAAAAATAAATAATTTCATTCACAAATCGAAATGCACGATCGATTAAATTAACACATATCGCATTTCACATAATATATTTATACATTGCTTTATTAGTTTGTTTAGATCACATTAATTTTAAAATGAAATCACAAGGAAAAACAAGTTTAGTTAAATAAAAAAAGACGAAATCAATAGTCATGACCCCGACTGAATGGCGTCAAAGAGTCTGATGCCAGAAATGTGACACAACGTAAATCTAACTGATAAAGGTCTACTTGTCGGATTGCTGTTTAAATCGTTGTTCATACATCAAATATAAATACAACACTATCAATGTGTTGAATGACAAGAATTCTAAGAATTAAATATTGAAATAGAAGAGACATATTAATTTTCCAATGTACTTTTGAAGCTACGTCAGTATTTTGAAAAATATTTTAATAAGTATTCGTTATGTTAGATATAGCAGCCTGTACATAATGAAGTTTCATACAATGTGGCAGTAATTTAATATGTGCTTTGAGTGCTTAATCGGCTGTGCAAGACTCTTTAACACGAGTCGCTCATATGAGTTTTTGTGATATAGTAACCGTCCGCCTCAAACAACATATGTAACAAAGTAAACATAATGTGCCTCTTAATAAACTAACTGTTGTATTAGAACCGTTAGCTAGTTGACTTACCGTGGCGGTTGATGGATTCGTCACGACTAAGTTCAGGTCTTGACCTTCGCTTATATTACCTGGATACTGACCGCATCGACCATTTTGTTTTTAGTCGTCCTAAAATAATCAAGTGGTATATTTTCTTGAAGAATTTTTGCAACTTTGTCGAATCTATAAGTAAAAGATTTTGATTAATATCTTCTGTAAGCATTATATCTATACGTAATCTTTCAAAACCGATCAGTTATGACGCACCATTATAATTTATAAACCAATTAAGCACGAGACTTGTATTTTTTTCTCATCCATGCTAAAATTCCGACCCACGTATATAATTACTTATATGAACAATAAACTATAGATATATTTGTGTGATGTTCCCTTGACCGTGAGCGGTGTTCCCACGCTGTGGCTGGCACAGACAGACACACATGCATCATGGCCGGGGGTCGTAGGGTCGGCTGTAATATTAGCTAACATATGTTACATTATTTCTGACCTATACAATTTGTTCCAGCCACTGCACTATTCTACACGTGTGTTATAAACACTTATAACTCAGCCTTTACAATGAACACCATGTATAATGTAGATATAATGAAATGTGAATATAAAATTTATATGACGAATGTACATATCTAATGAGCTCTGAGATTTTCGTGAGCCATTTAAATGAAACTAATATTTTGCGGATATATTTAGAAATTTTATTTTTGATAAAAACTATATACTCCCGACGTTTGCTGTAAAGTAACCGAAACGTCGGGAGTATGTATTTTTTTATAAAAAATAAAGAAGCGTACTATATCCGCAAAATATTAGTTTCATGTACGTATCTAATTATTAAAAATTTAAGTGCACACTATAAAAATATTAATGGTATCAGTCTGTGTTGCGTTTTTAGTTAATTTGCATTGTTATTCGTGTTATGGGGTAAAGAGTATCATTGTCCCAATTTCCGTTACCCGATACCTCGAAAACCCACCCGCGTTACCCCAATTCATTAATACGTAATACTGTTATATCATGTTATAAAAATGAATGAACAAAGAATACAAAATATATGCCAATATTGTCTTTGTCATGCTTTCAACTTAATTTGGTAAGTTGTATTGTTCTTAAAATATGAGAAATACTTTTTTTATTTTATTTATGAAGCTGTTTAAAATTAACGATTATAGTTTTCAAGAAGTCTAATAATATATATAGAAAATTGTTCTGTATTAGATAATTTTATTAGCTATAAATATGTAAATGCATATCTAAAAATAAATTTTGTAATACAAGGTGTCCAATAAACGTTGTCCTACTTATGTTTTGCCAAATCGCATATCATACATATGTATTTTGTAATGTGCCATCGTACGTAAATACGGTATAGATGATTTTGTTTTTGACAGAAATTTTCGTGTTTTTGGTCTTTATATTTCAAAATGTCATTGGTAATTCGTCTATCATTTTAGAGATATTAATTCCAATAACAGTAAATTAGTTACGCCCTCCGTTTTGTTATTAATATTTTATATGAGAGGTTATCTTTATATTGAAAACATCATGCGGGTATTTAAGTATTTTTATTATCACTTCCCCTTCTAATCATTTAACTTCCATTCATCTCATCTATTGTATTAATAATTAAAATTTAATAATGATGATGATATAAAAATAAAACACAAAAATTGCATTATTACTACGTATATTACTTGTATACAAATCAAAAAAATTTCTTTATTTAATAATATTATATAAATATACAAAGTAATTCACACAACCAATAATTATATAATTAATTTAAAATAATATTTAAACTTATGCTATAATAGGAATGAATAAGGACAATGAAAAATATATTTATAATGCAACTTCTATTATATTAGTTAAATATAAAGAAATACATTTAAAATCTAATACAAAACATTTAAATTAAACTTTACATATTTTGCAAATAAAATATTTAAATGAAGCTTGTTAGTCTTCCTCCTAAATATTGACTCTTATTATATGGTAAGCCTAACTTACAATACAAAGACAATTGAGACTTAAATATATCACAACAAACATATTTATCACAATATAATTATTATAATTACGCCTACGACTTCTATATATGAAACTATTTACATTACAACCAGTTGCCAACTCATTTCTTACTACGACGATCTTTATCTTATGCAAAGGCCAAAAGAAAAAGTTTTTTTTACTCTTAATTGATGTTTACTTTGAAGTAAGTAATTTTGTATTAAAAAGTACAGTACTTTTTTCATACTTTTTTCCATTAAAAGTAAGCTACTTTGACACAATTCGTAGAGAATGTTCCAATTGAAGTTTTTGTTTCTGCCAACCGATATGTAATGGAAGCCAGCACTTACTCATAAGGTAAATGCAATAAATTGAGCAAATAATACCTTAACATCTACTTAAGCTATTTGATCACTTGGATGAGAATATGTTGAAGAATTTTGTTTTAATATTCAATAGTGTGGTGATGGATCTCTTAGCTTTTTTCTTCGGCGCCGTCTCCTGTCTCAGGAAAGGTTCTGAATAAGACTTCTGCATGGTTGAGTTGACAGTTACCTCGTTGTCCCTGACCGGTTGGTATTTGTACTCCTTGACAACTCGTTCTTCATTGGGGTCATATCTGTACAGCACGGAGTACGTACGTTTAACCTTCTTGAGAATTTTTGGTGTGTTTGCCGTTCTCTCGCTTTTGCATCTCTTAACTTTGTTCCTCTCGTAATAATCTACGTAATTGTCAGCATCTACATAGATGATGCGTTTACCTAAAGCCTGTTCTCTTTCCTTCTTAAGGCTTTTCCAGGATGCTATCACTGATTCACGTCTGAAGGTTTTATTGGGGTTGTGGCGGCTGATGAGATAGGGTTGCTCTTCTTGGATGTTAGATGTTTCTTTCAAAGGTGAACCTCTAGGACTCGGACTGTAGTCTAACTCGTACTCATCTCTAGAAATCTGTAAAGATGAGAAAAAATATTTTAATACATAACTAAAAACTTTGTATCTTACGCTACCTAAAAGCTTTATGAAATTATTACTGTCTTAATAACGCTGTACAAAAAACTGGGTATATTTTTTAAAACCAGCTGTTTACTACTTTCAAGCCCTTCAACCGACGTGTCTGCCAGCACCTGTCTATACAGACATATGTTATAATCATGGAACTTTTGGCGGTCTAGTCTTATTATAATTTTTTTTTCAATGAATTGTCGGAAGTTTGAAATGATTGATAGTGTTCATTGTTTACTTTATTCGAGCTAAACGGTTATCTCGAATCAAAACGTTAATAGATAATGTTTATTCGGCGCCAAATGTTGAGCAATGACCGTCTACATTTCTTATATTTTATTTCTATAGTGCTTTCATATATTACAATTTCGTAATATGTTTTGCTGTATTATATTTTAGTTTTACTATTGTGTAACATTACTGACGTTTCTCGTGTTCCCGTAGTGTTGGAGCGGGAGTTGTATAAAATAATGGGTCACATAAAAATAAACTTTTTTTTTTACTACACCGACTGACTTTGAAGAAATTTTATATTTAGCTACAGAGTTATCTAATTTAAATTAATTATTTTTGATAATTTTCAAATATATTATGTATAAGAAATAGTTGTTAGACTTTTGAAGTATCTGTAAATAGTAGTGTTTGGCCTATGTCATCAAAAATTTTAAACTGTTTATTACACCTGAATGTGTTTGACGGACCTGATAAATAATCCTTTAATATATTATGAAGGATAACATTCGTAATTATGTTTTAATGGCGTGATGTAAAAATGCAAAAACGCATTTAGGTCACGATGTAAACGGGTCACATTAAAAAACGTTGCTATCGGTGTCAGCTAACATTGCCATTAAAATTTTTGTTTACATAACAAAATATAACGACATTTGGAATACCAAATGTCGTTATATTTTGTTATATTTGTCGTTATATTTGTCATTAATATGACGTATATTTCTTAACTTATTTAATTATAATATTGAAATTTTCATCCATTTCTATCTGCTTTTTTTAAAACTAATCATGATAAAGTTCAGTTTTAATTCAATAGATATTGAAAACTATTTAATTTTTGATTTATAAATAATCCTAACTTTTAACCTTTTCCCTGCTTTTATATTTTAAACTCTGCTTCATTTATAGTGAAGGAGAACTTAGAATTGATATCTATCAATAAAAACGTAAAAATAGATTCAGCAGACCAAAATTATTAAACGCTTTTAGAGCTTTATACAATGGATATAGAGTCAGTTTTGGCATGAACATACACGATAAGAAATGCACATCCGAATAATTGAATGATGTGTATTTATAAATCCAATATCAAAACGTATGTTTATATTTGTAACGAGTTATTTTGAACATTGTTCAATGCAATGCCAATAAACTCTAATAGTTATAATGTCATAGGCGTATTAAATTTATTACTACATACTAAACATTAGTTGTTCCAAAACAGATAACACCTGCTTATAAAATATTAAATGCCAAGATATTTAGCCTTTGGCTTTACGAGATCGGATCTAACATGGATCTTACACGCGATCAAATACTTTATATAAGTCGATTATATTTGCAACATAATTTATCCCTTACTATCATTGAAATAATATCAGTGCTACCAATTTACCTTGATACCTATTATATATATATCCTTGATACCTATTATATATATATAGTATTCGTTTTATGTTACATTTTATTTATATTTACTTACGTCTTTAAGTGTGACAGTGAAATTAATTCTGTCAAAGGAGCCGTTATGTATGCATGACTCGGTCAATGTTATGCATGAGTCGAGTTTGTTATTCAGTATACATCATGTCTTTTGGAGGATAAGAACAAAAACTGGTGCAGACTAGCATGTAATATTAATAGTAAATTATAATATGTTTGATATTCTGATAGAAATAACTATTCGTTTAAATAGAATATAATATTTTAATTTCTAAATCCATTTAGGGCTTACATAGAAAAACGAGAAGAAATATTATATAGGTATAATGATTTTTTGTATATTTTTTTTGGGTGATTTTAAAATTTAAAGCAACCCTAATGTACAATAATCCTTTGTAAAATAAAGATAGTTTTTAGTTGCATTTATTTGGTTGGCGAGTTAATAAAAAATACTTATATTTTTTTTAGTAATTAATATTTTTTATTGGTTATTTGTTGGTATTAATCGTTGTCAATGGAAAGTAAGTATTATATATAATTTTACTCAGTAGTTGAAGGTCATTAACCCGCGTGAAATGTGTGTGACAATTAAATATAGCCGTGACGCGTACATACATTGACTAATACTAACCTACGCAATATTGACATATAAATTTTATATGAGCAAGCAATTTTTATATACATATAATATATTTTAATTTCGTTTCGTTTATAGTTTTTGACGATAAATGTAGTGTAGATGTAATCCATATTTTTCTATGAATATTTTTTTATCAAATCTCAGTATGATTATGAAATTATTTATATATTTTACTGTCAAGTTTAATTTTTTCTTTGTCAATTCGTCATTCATCATTACGAGGTCCAGAGAGCAGCACGTTCACAACTTTCGAAATCAAAAACCGGAATAACAAGTGACATTCGGTGATTGTTATACCACTAGCCGTGTGTCTATTTAAAATTTGGGGAAAGTTAACATTTAAGTTAGTTGTAGCAAAAACTAGATAATTTAGAATTTAACTTCTGACACTAGTATAACTTTCTATTCACAACTTTCTTAGACGCTCGGTCTAACAATGTAGTTATAAATAATTTTTTATTAAACCAAAATCCAAAACTGTTTTTGTGACTAAGCGAGAATTTAAGTAGGTTTTTGTAGTAATATAGTTTATTTTAGAAATTACTAAACAATTTTGTATACCAATAAAACTAAATCGGTTAGCGTTGAGGTTTAATATTAAATGGACGGCCGAGGCGAAAGATTTATGGGACGCTTAACTAATACCGTAACACTAAAGTTGTGAAGGTCGTCCCTAAGAATTAGATCTAGAAGTCTCCAAAATACTAACAGATATTATGAATTCTATACGTATACATCTCAATCTCTCACAAAGAGTTTCCAAGTTAGATCGATATCTGTTAAGCTATCCAATTTTGGAGCCGGTAACCGTGAAACCGGCGGCAATGTCAAGAGCTCAACCACAAAAAGAAACTAATACCATATTCAAACGTCAGACACGCTCGGGTTCAGTGACAGCAAAGATAGCGCCTTTTAAGATTTAAACTGGCTCTGATGTTTGCGCAACGACGAACATACAGCGTTCCGTAAATTATATACCGAATATGGACAGATTACGACAGATGATCGAATAGTTTTATATTTAAATGTATATAGTATTAATTAATGTATGTACGTATGAACTCACCACGCTCTCCCAACTGCCTCCGATGATGGTTTTGTCCAACATTTTAGTCTCACTGATTATAATCCTTGTCACTATGTCGAGTCTGTTCAGTTTGATCTGAAGCCGATATATGAAATGGGTTTTGGTAATATTCTTGTTTATGTGTTACGCGTCTTAGATCACGTATCACGTATTATATCTCTGGTAGAGGGATTTGGCACTGTATACACTTCGCGCTTTCCTTTGCGACTGAAACGAATCCATTCGGGAATGATATTTATAGGTCGTTCTGGTCGGGAGAGGGCGGGTTTCAGGAAGACGATGCGTGTGTCTTCCACTTAACACCTAGTCACGCCTTCGTATTTTAGTGTTGTATGTTATTTAGTTCGGGGAAGCCCGTCTATTATAGACACGGGTACATACGTCTTCATAGTATCGGTAATATCTTTAGAATATTTCGCGTTCGATTGTTCTATATATTTCAACTCTTACCTTATTGCGACCACTACTCAAACGAATTAAATATATTTGAAAATTTAAGTTATAAACACGTTATATTGACCCATAAATAAAATACGATTTAGATTATTTTCATACATACAATATATTCTATTTCAATATAAATTGTGGCGTACTTGTCTCCCATTATATATCTCATTAATATTGTATTAGTGCATTCGTTATATTATTTTTTTACCGTCCGTAAATAAATGTGTCAGTGTACAATGTTTTTGGACCAACGACCTCACGCCGAATTATGTCGTATTGAGTCATTCGATACATCTATATTGTCACGTTAGTTTTACACATTTAATAAAAACTTTCATTATTTACAGACGTTTCATAATTTGTATTATTATTAATGCTTTGAGAGGATAATACTTGTACAGTTGAACTAAATTATATCTCTCAATAAAGTTGCTGCCCTCCATTTAGTTATTTTATTCACAAAAAGGACTAAAAAGGTCCCGAAACCGAGTGACTCACTCTCCCTCCGTCGTTTGTGTTTACATTAAAGGGATGAGTATTCAAGTTAAAGTAATTTTAGAACTATTTATAAAGCACAAAGCCTTCTAATAAAAGCTACCTAATAAGAACAATTCATATTACAAGGACGCGTTTAAATGCCACATGTTTTATTACTTGTGTTAATTTCATTTATAACAAGCGCTGAGCTGCCAGTAACGTATTCTGTTAACATTTATCGTATCTCTTTGTGTTTCTATCTAATAAATCTGATTAAATTGTTACTGACTGACATTTTTCTTTAGTGGAAATTTTGTTTTAATTTTCAAATTTATCAGAGCTTGAAGCGTCGCGACTGTACTCCTTTTGTATGTTTGAAGATATTATATTTTTAAATAGGTTTCGCCCGCGACTTTGTTCGCGTTAATAATCGGAATCAGTGATATATGTATAGCTGACCGGGCGAACTTTATTTTGTCGTAGAGGCCATAATAACCAAATATGTATTGGAATTTATTAAGTTTTTTTTTGGATCGAACAGATTTAAATATCCCATCTCCATCTCCTGGTTTTAATCTACCTCCCCACCAATTTTCAACCATATAGGGATATGGTTGAAAATAGATGATATAAAAATACAGACGTTCAAGAGTTACAAATAGTGGAACTAACACAACTTTCTTTTATATATATATATATATATATATATATATATATATATATATATATATATATATACATTATTCGGGACTGTAGATCATATAAAACTCATTCTTTTGACATAACCGTCATATTAGCGAAATTGTTACTATTACTTATAATAAATAATATATTAATATTAACCTAAGTTTACACACCGTTAAAATTTATCTGATACAGGCTTTACAACCGTCTTTTGGGTTTGAGTGTTCCGCTTTGGATGCACTCGAATTGAATGCATTTGACGTCATAGCAATATCCGATACCATCGTTACAACCGACCACCTAGACTGTGTATTTTATGCTCTACCAGTGTTCAATATTAGGTTGTATCCTGTGCCGCTGACTGTACGGTCCAATGACATCATGTACATTTGACTGGGGTCGATGTTTTATGACGTTCTACGTTAACAACTGTGTACATAATATTAAAAATGTTCAACTTTTTTCACATAATGTGATTATTCATTATTAATTATTAATTATGTAAATGTGTTTAATAAGGATAAATATTTTTTCGCACCGTTGAATAATTTGCATTCATTTTATTGCATTTTTTTCATAATCAATAATTATGATTGATTTTATGATTCATAAAGTACTAAATCAAAAATTAATGGCTTTATTTCTTGTATGTTTTTATTCAGACTCATTATATTTTTGAACAATTATGTTTTATATACTTTTAATATTGGTTTGATTAAGTTATTATTTAGGGAACTTAATGTAATGTTAAAATTTACATCGCCTCCTAGAAAGAGCCGTTGAAATCTATACCAAATATAATTTATATTAATATTCTATAAATATGGTTAAAAATAATAATTTTACACTAAGCTTTAATATTTCGAAAAAAAATATACAATTATTTCTTGTTTCATCACTTGCTATATTCATTACGTGTTTTTTTATTATTTTACTTCGTAATATAAAATTATATTAAAACATTTAGCTCGAAACGACGCCCTAATTTGTTAATGTACTTTGAAACAGACGAAGTGCGTTCAGTGAGATGAAACCATTTTGAATGTTATAATCTAGTTGAGCTAACTTAATGTAATAATACAATATTCTATCTTACTTATATAATACATGCAAAATTTTGTGTTGAAGAACAAATAGCTTTTCTACAAATTCAATCATACGATCCATTGAATTGTATATCAATCAATCCTCAATAATATCGAAATATCGGCATATTAAACAACAAATTTAAGAATTATTATCACATTATGTAAATTTAACTTGAACTTAGTACTTATTCTTCTTCGTCCTGGCAATTTCCAAGCTTTAGCCAGGGTCTGTCTTACATGTTGTAAATAGGTTTGGCTAATTGTTCTTACGACCGGCCGCCTGTCTGACATCAACCCTCGTTGGGAATGTATTAATCAGTGATGTCTAAATACTCTTAGAAATAACATATGATTCCGAATAATCACATTGGTACTTGCCAGGATCAAACCCGCGCCCTTATGCATGAGAGGCGGGCCTTTTAACCACTAGGCCACCACTGACTTATTATTGTTACGTAACTGTGAACTAGTCCTATATCAAAGTAAAGTAGATCGCCTGTAACTTCTTCAAACAGCGACCCAATTCAATATAATAAAAAACGTTACGATTTTATAATTCGTGACATATGAGTAACATTAATTTAACAAGCACCATTATATTACGTCCAAGCAATGAAACGTCTGGATATATTCCAATGGTTTTGTATAACAAGGAATGATCCGTTGTAATTTGGCAACAATGAATAAGTTAAAACTACATATATTAGTATCATATTTACATAGTAGTAACATTAATATTAATTCGATCGTTTGGAGATATTTATAATACAAATATTTGGTAAGTCACGTGGATATATCTAATGTTTTTATGAAATGTTACAATCATACATCATGAAAATGATGAAAATTTGTCACGATGTACCTACAGTTGTTTGTTAGTTTAAGTCTACCAGTATAAGACAAATGTTACTGTATTGATATTAATGTCACTTTTATAATAATATCAGCCATATATCAAAAATATAAGATTTATTAAAGTATACATAAGTGAAGTTAATTATTCTTAATTAAATAAGGTAGCATAAAAAGACAAAAGCCACACACACATACGAGTATGCTAAACACAAGTTTGCATTATGATGCCACATACAGAAAGTTAGCGGTATTTTTTCATTCAAAAATCTTTTCATATTATAGTATAAAATTGAGTTATTGAATGATAAAACGACAACTCATGTAAAAGTGGTAGTAATACTGAACAATTGATATAAATAAAGACCTCATAGTCTTTCATATAATAATATCTTACGTAGAAGCTTAGAGAAAATAATATAATAACGTTGCTTTGTTGACTTTATAAAATTCAATTACCGTATACTATATTAAAGTACATTTTAAAACCCCATGCCATTATTAAATATAATGTTCTATTTGACGTCGAGTTGTTGCTATCAAATGAAAGTATGAATTTTTATGATCCGTGAGTGTTATTAGTGTTAACTTCTTTTATATCGTCTAAGAGGCAATTTAAGTGAAAGCCTTACTTAACGGACGTTTTGCAAATGCTTCGTCATTGTAACAAACGAAGCTAAGTAGTAATATCGCGATTCATATGTTTAAAAGAGAAATAAGATTTAAAGTTTTTTACTTTAACATTTGTTAAGTCCATATATTCAATATTAATTTATTACAATGCTATCAATAGATTGCATTTGCCTTGTAAAGTCACGAATATATTTCCGAAATTACAAATCAAAATTCGTATAAACAAAGATGATGAATATTGAATTATGAGACTTTGAATCAGCTGACATTACAAATATAGATTAGTTAACTTTAAACTCAATAAATATCTCGTAATTCATGGGTTAATTTATATATATTTATATAAAAAAATATTCAAATTATTATTCTTTTTTTGTAACAATATGGAACGTCTTAGTTTTCTATTATTTTTTTTGTATTCAGTCATTTATAAGTATAAAATGATTAAATGAATACTGCCAGTGGAAATAATATCAATAAGGCATAAATACATACATATATTTTTTAATATTAGTCGATATTAAATATAAAGATGCATACACACGTGCGTATCGAAGTTTGTTTACGGCCACCGATGCAGATTGTCTGCTGACGTGCGCACTATAAATAATATATTGACCTAGTTCGATCTGCGGTCTACGAGACCTGTTACAGGGGATTGTTTCAGTGAAAGCAGCTATTTTAGATATTCCCAAATGGATACGTGCTATTATTACATTATGCGAGAGTATACACTATACACCGTCCCGCAACTTCGTCTGCCTTGGCTGATATATTGATAGTTTTCGTTAAGTGCACTTAAAACACAACACTGAACACAATTCTCTTAACATTAAATTTTTTAAGTTTAATAAGATTATAGGGACTGAAGATGCTTATCGAAGCATTTTTAGGTAAAGTTCAAGTGTTAAAAAAGTTATTGTAATTCTAAACTCTCAATAGTTTTGTCTTTACTGACAGACAATTGCAGACTTTAACCAGTTATCTTATGTGAAAGATTTGATTACATATTACTTTTCATGATTAAAGTTACATAATAAACGAATGAATTTGGATATAACGTAGAATATTTAATACGATCTTTTTATAAAAAATACCACATCCATTATATATATTTCGTACATCTCTGTTATTATAAATCGAATAATTTCTATGTAATAATGTTGTTACGGTACAAGTGTCACGGATGGAGTAAAATGGGTGTGACCCAAATCGATCGTGTAATACGTAAACATTCTCTGAATGTGATGTTGTTTGGACGAAATAAGGTGACGTTATATATATTGTAATATATTAAAACTTTGACAATGATAACTATATTCTGCTACTGTTATATGAAACACTATTATTTAATATCAATATTTTTAGAACTTGTTTTTTGTCATTTATTATTTTTTCTCTTAACTTCATACATACGAAATGTAATGAGATGTTTAGTGATTCTTGATTCTTTATAGATTCTTGACTATAATTTTCTCACATTTATAATAGTAGTATTTTTGTTTCAAATAGACCAATGGTAATGTTTAAAGCTCTTAGACTCTTAATTTCACGTATTATTTGTGATAAGTGTTTCGGGCTGTATTAATGATAAGTTCCAGTTATTAATGACGTCTGATGATAAACATACATACAGATTCTAATCATTAATAGAGCAGATTCATTAAGTAGGCTCAATGATGAATCAACCTTTTTTTTATGACGATATTCTCATAATTTTATTTGGGATTGAAAATTTGTTTTGAGTAACTATGAATTGTCAAGGTTTTAATAGTTTTATTTCTAGTTCTATATATTTCAAGGAATATTGCTACAGATTCAAGTGAAATAGACAACTAATATAAGCTTTGTGTATACATTATTATATAATCACTGTCAGCACTCAGTCATCTCTAGTTTATTAATTTTCATAGTATTAAACTGTAGCACTCTCCTATATATTAAGTTGTTTACATACCAAATGCACTCCACGCTGATGGAAGAAAACAATTCTGTTACATTTGATCTTAGTTCTTCTAGAATTTGGATTTTAATATATTTTATACGATAAGTAACTTCTATTAAATATTTTTGATGTTCGAAGACTAGTTTTTAATTATAATTTAAGATATAGTTAATTTGTAAACCTTTTTTACGATAGAAAATTATGGTATCTTGATATAAGTTGTGACTTATAATTAAATTTTAACAGAATTTTGTACATATTTTGTAATCGTTTTAATATAATCACTAAAAAAAATATCATTTGTATTTAAATGCTATACAAAAACTCGTATTTCTGTTAAAATCGTCGACCGTATGTACAATGTATTTCACGTTTCCATATGCTTTTAACACTCAAAGGATTAATTTAAAATACGTACATACATTACTGTGTCCAGTGTTTGTATAAATATTGAAGTGTTGTTGTGTTTTATAAAAGTTTGGTGTAAAATTTAAAACTCATTGAAAATCGTGAATGCGTTCAGAATAAATTCCATTTGAAATAAATATGATACTTATAAAATTTTAATAATATATCATATAAATATTCCACGCGGAGTTCACAAACGTTTTCAGACGTCGCTGTAACGAATTTAAATAGCACTTTGTAAAGGGTTTTATTATGTAATGCTTTTAAAATTGTTAAATGTAGTACCTATGTATTAAAAGACTTTTACCTGCATTTTTTGTGCTTAGCATTTCAGTTTTGACTGAAATAACATTAACTTTTAATAACATATATTCTTTGATAACTAACCAAGGTAGAAATTATAAATATTTGTATTCTTGATAGTGCTAACGGCAATATAGAAAGTGTCATAGTAAAATATTCCTTATTACTTTAACATAAGTAGCATTTTATTGTTGTGCTATTTTAGTTGTTATAAATCATGAGAGGTTGTAAAAGCCTTTGTGGTTTATTTTAGGGTCGTGTTAGGTTGAAGGTCACTGTATAGGACCGGATGGTAGAGTCATATCAGGTTGGATTCAAATGTTTTATATCATAAACATACCCTAATAGATGCTCATGGTCATGTTGCCTGGAAGCATTTGATATAACAGTGTCATGTTCATTGTAGAATAATATAGTTTTAGAACTGTTTGATGTATTCATTTATGGTTTTTGTCACATATCCTACTCAATATATTCTTTGTACGACTTAGTAGAATATTTTAGGCGTAAAACTTCCAGAAAAATTTGATATAATTAAGTTACAAATGTCGTAACCTAACAAGATTTTTTGCACTTTAAATTGAGTTTATTTTATAATACTTAAAAAAACATTTAAGCAATTATAGACTCTATGTTTATGTATGTTAGGTCAGGAAACAGGTTACTTTTCCTTGATTTGTACTACTATATCCAGAGCACTTTTGTTTTATATTTACTTTGTTACGTAAACCTTAATCCGTAACGTAATATTATCCGTTCAACACACGCCCTCATTCTATATAAGTCGGAATAACAAGAGCTTCATTAAAACGTAATTCCTTACAAATTTATTGACATCCAGATAAGCAACAACTGTCTCCAGTATCGTATCAGTAGGTTAACATTTGGTACTCATCTGGTCAAACAATGAGAATATGAAGATTTCTTTAAGGATTTATCTATAGATGTTGTTTTGTCTGTTTTATTCTATCTATAGCAAGAACTAAATGGATTTTAGGTGTTAGCATCACTAATTAAATATTTTAAATCTATAAATTAGGTATATCAATAAGAATTTATAGATATATTATAATTTTAATGAATTAAGTATGTTATTTTGTAATGTTTATATATACATATATATATATATATATACTTTTTATTATAATGAAATGTATTCCTTAAAAAGTGTTCACAGTTTAATTCGGCTGCCTGTAACCGTATAAGGCTAAAACACTCGGATTACATCTGTGATTGCGTTCTTATGTAAATGTTAACGGTGACTCTTTCTGTTGTTGTTTTTTTATCTCGGTAAGATAACATTATATAAGCGGAACTGATTTAATGTTTTATTCTCGATTGAAACTCGAGTTTCGTTTGTGTCTGAGTGCTTTTTATTTTTCTCGCTACACTGTTTGTTTTCATCGTCCTCGTTTCCTTTATTTAGTGTAACCCCAATAACGCTAACTTCCTTGAACACATTAAGTTCTTAGAAGTTGTCTTTCTTATATTCTCGAGTCCTAGCTCGTTAGCCGTCTCTTCGTGCCTTAATTTTCCGAGCCCTGTAATATGTTGTACTCGGAATTCGAATACATTATCCTTTTGACGTTTTTATGTCCAATTACTTATGCATATATTGACATCTTTATTTTGTTTAATTCAATATTTGCTTTCACATTTCGGCGTAACTGACACAGATACATGTTTAATTAATTATTATCAGCGGGTAGTTTTTTTTTCTTCTGGAAAATCAATAAACCTTATTATAAGGCAGCATAAAATATGAACATTATATTTTTTATGTTTTGCTGTAAACTTTAGATGGGTTAAGGATGCTGTGGTTCGGAGAAACTGTTTTGGATATAAAATTGAGATCTAAAGATGAATAAAATAAAAAATATTTAAACCGCAGAAAATATTAAACGTTCGAAATGACCGTGGCCTAAAGGTTATATTGAAATGACGTAGATGTGTACGTTAAAAAATAAAATAATTTGTTCAAGAAATAATCTCTATGACAAATATTTTATTATGTACTTCAGAAATCATAAATATTATAATAGATAAATAATGTTTCTTAATTTCGTAACAATATTATACCACGGTTGGTGGTGGGTAGTCGTTATCGTGCGCGGGCGCAGTGAATCATAGACTCTGAGAAACACGTGCTCGCCGTATCAGCTGTTTGAAGTACGGAGCGGAAACAATGGTGTTAGGACATACGTTATATAAAGAATATTATTGATATGAATTTTTATATACTTCAATGAGTAAAAACTTAAAAAAAATATATAGGTATGAGATCCATACATTCCATAATTTTACTTTTTCAGTTATAAGTGAATATTTAAATTAGAATGTGTTAATACAATTCTATGGAAATCTATTTAAATTTGGAGTCTGTGAAAATTAAGAAATAAATTAAAAATAATACAACTATTATTCTTAATCTAGCATAACAAGTACTAGCACTTAAATAGAGAAACAAATTAATCCGTGACATTAAATGTGGAACATCGAACGAGAATGTGAAGCTAACTTTTGACTAGATTTTACATTAGAGTCACGTAATTTCATGTAGTATTTAGAGCATTTCGTGGAACGTCGCATAATTCAAATTATAATGAAAGGAAAGCGTTTTCACAAATCGTCTAAAGTATTTAATTTTTATTTTTCTTTAATCTAATGACACGGATCTCATGTCCCGGGAACTTCTTAATTACGATGCGTATTACAGCTTCTTAACGGGGTCGCATCCTACATCTGTCGCGCGAATACTGACACGACGTTACATCTAACAGTTTTTAATATACCATACAAACAATTACAATCTCTATTGTCATCATTTTTGATATAGAAGTCGGCGATCTTCGCCTGCACATGGTTGGTTGATTTTTTTGCACTTCTCTCATGTTACAGCCTGAAGGTTACGTTGTTTGTTGCGACTTGCGGTTTTGATTTTCTTGACCTGAATAGTTTTTTAAATAAACCGACGTAATGGACGTATTAGAGATGTTGTCTAGTAAATTACAGAAGCATCGTTTGTGGCAACCATTATGTTTAGAATGCTTTGTATACTTATGTTTGTAAACAGATGAACATAAACGTGATTTTGGGAAAGAGCAGAGCAGTGTGGTGAGGCATGTGTGATGTATTAATGAGAATCTTGTGTGTTTGTTTATTTTTTTTGTAGTAATCAAGGCTATGTCTAGACAATCGGGACCAAATTCTTCGGTTATATTTTGTTTTATGTAGAAGGTCAAGTAATGTAGATTAAAGAAGAGATAAAGAGTTTACAAATTCATGTGAATATTTTTTATAACGAGTAAAATTTTTTATACATATATTAAAATTTATTTTTACTAATACTTAATGTTATTACAACACACACTATTCTCATTAGTCTATGTCAAAATGAATATTAACTTTCCAGTTCAATGTTTTTTTTTTTTTAATTAATTTAAATATTTATGAAAATATTCACGATACATTTGTGTATTTATCGTTTGAAAGCCATTTATCTTTCACGGTGTTTTGAAATTTCAATATTAATAGCGGAGAGTCTTTTCATAGTCGTTGAATTACTTTTATCACAAGTCCCATGAATTAATTAAAGTTATTAGCATAAAAGGC